GACACAAATAAAAAATGCACAGTGCCTAAATATAATCATATATACTCTACATATATTCATATTCATATAGGAATAGGAATACATATATAGTTGTTCCTTGGAATCTGAGAGAAACAACGCAGATACCAAGACCCGGGGGTGATCAAGCCTCCTATTAAAATGGTGCAGTATTTGCATAGAACGTATGCACACACTTCAAACCACCTCGAGATGATCTGTAAGACCTGGTCCAATGAAAAGGCTGTGTCAACAGCTGTTAACGCCGGGCTGTTCAAGAAGAGCCACAAGAAAGCGTCTGTGTATTTTCAGTCCTGCCGCATTTTATTTTTTAACGTTTCTGATCTATGGTTGGCTGAAGGGGAGGCTGGGGAACCCGCGGATAAGGAGGACTGATGTACACACCAACACACGAGAGGCTTCCGAAAGTCCACGGGACACAGAATTAAAGGGTACATTCATTTTGGAGCAAAGGAAACTCCCTAAGTCCACGGGCAGTTCTCCCACTGTGTATGTGTTTCGTGACCTTTTTGAAGAGCCCTCGTAGGCACGGACTTCAAATTTTTCGCCCCAAAATTAGCTCACCTTTTAATTCCACAGTCCATGAAAGTTCTGGCCTCCCTGTACGTGTGTCTGTTGTGAATAAGAACAGTGCAGTTCAAGTTCTCCTCCCAGTCTCTGCCTCTCATTCCCCCCTCGGAGGTGTGCAGGAGACTCGCTGGGGCCGAGGTGGCTGCCCCACCAACTCCCAGGGCAGCTCGCTGTCACCTCTCAGGGTTTCCTCTTCACTAAACTCCCCACCCATATATTTCTCCATTTTTCTACCAGGCATTTATATTTTTCTTAATGATATATAGTTTTTAAAATAATCTATATACTAATCTGTACAAATCTTTCTTCAGTATTACTTTTTAATACAGATTTGTTTATTTGAAAGACAGAAAAAAAGCGGGAGAAGGAGAGAGGTAAGGGAGGGGGAGAGGGAGAGAGAAAAAGAGAGAAGGAGAGAGAAGGAGAGAGAGGGAGAGAGATGTTCCATCCACTGGTTTACTCCCCAAAGAGCCACAACAGCCGGGATTGGGCCAGGCCAAAGCCAGGAGCTTGGGTCTCCCATGTGGATGCAGGGACCCAAGCACTTCAGCCATCTTCCACTTCTTCCCCAGGTGCATTAGCAGGGAGCTAGAATGGAAGCGGAGCAGCTGGGACTGGAACTGGTGCTCAGATGGGATGCTGGCACTGCAGGCAGTGGCTTAACCTGCTACACCACAGCGCCAGCCCCTATTTCTTGCTTTTTAACTTTGTTACAATACCTTTGTTTATATAAGACTTCTAAAAGCATCAATTGTTTCCTTTGTTTATTTGTTTCCTCTGGTACCTTTTCTTTCCTAATGTCATAAAGGTATCCCACACGGAGATTTAACCCTCGCTGGAATTTACTGTGAGCAGTTCATTCTCCCAGTACAACTTATTAAGCAGTCTACCCTCCCCCGTCCATCTGCAATGATTCTGCCCAGGCGTCCCCATTCACGCTTGGGTGGGCATCAAGTCCCCTGAGGACTAGACTGGGCCCGTGCCCAGTGACTGTGATCACAACTTCGCTCCTATTTCTGTATTTATTTCCAAGGCAGAGAGACAGAGAGCTCCAATCTGCTGGTTTACTCCCCACATGCTTACAACAACTGGGGCTGGGCCAGGCCAAAGCCAGGTGCCAGGAGCTCCATCCAGGTCTCTCCCGTGGGTGACAGAGACTCAATGACTTGAGCCATCACCTGCTGCCTCCCAGAGCCTACATCAGCGGGAAAGTAGCGCAGAGGCAGAGCCCAGACACGGACGCAGCCATCACAAGTAGCATCGTAACCCCTACGCTCAACACCCACCTCTCCTCTTTTTTTTTTTTTTTTTTTTTGACAGGCAAAGTTAGACAGTGAGAGAGAGAGTTATAGACAGTGAGAGAGAGAAACAGAGAGAAAGGTCTTCCTTCCATTGGTTCACTCCCCTAATGGCTGCCATGGCCGGTGCTGCGCCAATCCGAAGCCAGGAGCCAGGTGCTTCCTCCTGGTCTCCCATGGGGTACAGGGCCCAAGCACTTGGGCCATCCTCCACTGCACTCCCAGGCCACAGCAGAGAGCTGGACTAGAATAGGAGCAACCGGGACTAGAACCTGGGGTGCCAGCACTACAGGCGGAGGATTAGCCAAGTGAGCCGCGGCGCCGGCCACCTCTCTTCTTTTTTAGACCTGCCCAGACATTATTCTTGAACCTTACTCTTGAACCTTACTCCTCCTTGCAAATTCTAGAATTCATTTGTGCAATTTCATATTCCACATAAAATCCTGCAACTGAATTCCATTGAATTCACACAGTAATGATTATATTCTTGAACATAATATCTCTCTCCATTTTCCAGACTTCCTCCTTTCAATCCTCCCTTTAAAAAATCTCAAAATCTTCCCCCCACACATTTCAGTGTTTTCAGATTTATTCCAAAGTATCTCAGAGCTTTTATGCTAGGATGGATTAGAACATCTTTTATTCCCTCGGATGTTGCTGCTGTACAGGTAGCTACGGGTGGCCAAGTAATCCTCTAACTCATCTCTCTTCCTTGTTCCAATGCTCACTCTCTAGCTACACTCAGATCATCTGCGTAGTTATGTCATCTGTTAATAATGACATTTGATTCTTCCAAACTTCCGTTGTATTATCTGGAATGAGATACAGAGGAGTAAGAGGATGCAATCTTATCTTGTGCCTGGGGACGTGCATTTTTTCCATCGAGAAAGGCCCAGAGCCTTTCTTAATTCAAGAAAGATGAACAACAAGAAAGGCGAATAACCCAGAGGGTGAACTGCATCAGGTAATCCGTTGTGTGATAGAAAGAAAAACAGTGAAGCCAGCCGGAGCGCACGGATCCCGGAGAAAGCAGGGCTCTGACTCGGCAGCGACTCACACTAGCTGCCCCTTCCAAGAGGGGGAAGAGACACGGCCAGAGGACACGGCAGGAGACAGCGGGCAGGGGCACACTGCCGGCGCTGACACACGCTTGCCCTGTGCAGGCGAACGGCCGTCCCCCCTTGTTTCACTTCCAGGCGCTCACCTGCAAACCAAGGCTAGTCTGATACGCCTATGTCTCATGTAGGATTCACAAAGTCTCCTGGGTGTAAAAAGGCAGTGAGGTTTCCAGAGTTCTTACTGAGCCGGCTGAGTCTTCCACACGGGCAGCGCTCTGAGAGGTGGGAGGGACGGCTGGGTTTGGAACAGTCTCAGGTGCTCCTGGAGTGATCACAAACCAACCTTGCAGACAGCACCTTTCCCCATCCAACTCATTCCTGGGTCTGTGGAAGTGGCCAGGCACGGGGTCCACCCTGACTGCACCCAGGCCAGCCGGGGCAGGGAGGAATCTTCTCTCCCCCAGGCAAAACCAGGCGTGCGCTTCCGGCACCCGGCATGTTCATTCCCAGGGCCCAGAACCAGGGTGGGGTGGGGTGGAGGTGGGAGGGTAACCACTCCTCTGCCTCTCGCTGGCCACGTCCAGGCACCCACAGCCCAACTTTAGCTCCTTCCTGCTCGTTTAATTATAGGAGCCAGAAACGCAGCCCTTTGTAATTTCCCATGCACTGGGAGAGTCGCTTTCAGCTGAAGACAAATTTCTGGGCCACCTGGGCAGAGCAGGGACGTGTGGCAGGAGCCAGGGGCCCCAAGCCAACACCAGCAGCACCCACCCCCCTCTGGACCATCAGCCAGGGCAATTTAGGAGAACAGAGAGAAACAAAGGCAGAGTGGCCCAGAGGCCACATCTTGGCCCACAGCACGTCTGGGGAGAGTAAGTGTATACCCACACATTTCATCTCACGCACTATATTTCACACAGGTGGCATAAAGTATGATCACATTCTCCCGCCCGGGGCAGGACTGCGCCTTCCAGAGGGCACATCCCCACGGGGCCTGGCTGCAGAGGGCTTGTCACTCACGGCAGCGCGCCGCACGCTCCGCAGGCTTTGCCAGCGGTGATGATGAAACTGAATTTAACGCGGTCTGGCACTGGTGCTGGAGTCCGCAGGCGCCTCCTCCCCCCGCCACTTCACTGAGCGCCCCGAGTGCAGGTTGGTTGGACCCCTGCGCTGGGCGCTCTCCTTGTGGGAAGCACACTCCACCATCCATCCGGACCCGGACCCAGACCCGCGCCTTGGCGGGGCTGCGGACTGGAAAGCGCACCTGCCAGTGCCCAGGACTGGTCCCTGGCTCAGGGGCAGCACTGGGGCGAGGTTGGGGGTGGGAGTCTGGCCCTGGTTCTTCACGGAGGGTCAGGTCCAGTAGCGGCCACACGGAATTTGGCATTCCACTGTCACCGGCGCTACGGACCAGCAATCCGGCAACTGACTTGTCCAAGGCCACACAGCTCAGAGGCAGGGGGCTGTCCCCCATCCTCGGCAGAACCCCAGAAACAAAGCAATCTCCCTGAGTGCCCCGAGCGGTTTTAAACGCAGGGTGCCTGTCCCCAGCCAAGGGGGCGGCTGCTGGGACCTGCGCTGCGCCGGGAGCACCGACGTCCCAGGGGCCGAGCCCCGCGCACGTCGCCCGGAGCGAGCGGCTGCCGGCGCGCACACGGGGCCCAGAGCCCCGCGCCGCCCGTCGAGGAGAGAGGGGCTGGCGGGGTTGGGGCTGGGGCCGGGAGCGGTGCGGCGCAGGGAGTGCGCCAAGGACCGAGCCTCCGGCAGCCGCCGCGCCCGAGACGCTCCCACTCGCGCGCGGCCCGGCAGGTGTGCGCGCCTGCCCCTGCTTCCGCGGCCACTCTCCCGAATGCCCTGCCCGGGGACTGCGGCCCGCGCGCCAGGCCTGCGTGGGCGCCCACGCTGGCCCCAGGTCGCCCCGCCAAAGCCCGCGCTCCCCAGCGACCGCCCGCGGGGGGCCCCCGAACGTGCGGGCCGAGCCGTCCCGGATGCCTTCCCACGCGCGTGCCCGCCGGCGCCGGGAAAGTTTGCGGCGCGCGGGGCCGGCCGCACTCACCTGGCCCAAGTTGAGGTAGCCGTGCGCCGCGGCCACGCGGTCCGCCGCGGCCGGGCCGCCCAGCACTTGCACTGCCCAGTGGTTGGTGTAGACGGGGCGCGGCGGCGGCGGCGCGGAGCAGGCGGCGGGCAGCGCGAGCAGCAGCAGCCAGCGCCAGGGACGCGGCGCGAGTGGCCGGAACCCGCGCCCGCCGGCGCCCCCCTCGCCCCGTGCGCCCGCGGCGGCGGCGGCGGCGGCGGCGGCCCGGGGCGGCGGCCGGGGCCGGGGCGCAGGCGGCGCGCGCGGAGGCATGGCAGCGGCAGCTCGCGCGGCGCCCGGGCGGCGAGTGCGCCGGGGGGTGGGGAGCCGCCTTTTAAAGCCGCTCCGCGCCGGGAAGCGCCGCCGCCGCGGGCGGGAGCGAGGGAGGAGGAAGCGGCCGCGGCGCGTTCCCGCCTGCGCGGCCGGCGGCGCCCCTGGGCCCGCGCTCGTGCGCCGGGTACCGGCTGCGCCGACCGCGGCGGGAGAGGCCCGGAACGGTCCCCGCCGGGGTGGCCTCCCCGCCGACTTCTGGGACCTTCTGGCGCAGGACAGCCCCGGGGGTTCTGCCAGGAGCTCAAAGGCCCCGGGGGCATCTCAGGTGCGTCCCGCGTTCCCCAGAGCAAATGCCAGAGGTCGACGCCACCCCACAGGTAAGGCACCTGGGAGGCCGCACTCACCTGGTGGGGCTCCCAGGCCCAGTGGCCTGCCCACGTCGGTAGCCGACCCGATGGAAGGCGCCCAGCGGACTGGGGCGGAGGCACCTGGCAGGTTACCTGGGTGTGGGGAGTCCCTGGGGAAGCTGGCTGTGCGGGAGTCCCCGGCCCTCCCCTTGGCAGCTGTGTGATCCTGGCTAGTGCCTGGCCTTGTGGGGCGCGGGCGCTTCACCTGTAAAGTGGGGGTGACGGTGGCATATACCCCACAGACCGTCAGGATGACGTCAGAGGCCGCTGGCGGTGAAGGAGTGTTTTGATGGGGCCAGGCCTGCCGCGTGCTGGGTGTTCACGCACCCAAAGCGCTGGGGAAAGGAGTTGCCTCGTGGCTACCCCTGCTGGCTGGAGCAGCCCGGTATCTGGTAGATATTTATCCGAGTGCACGCAGGAGAGCGGTGGCAACGTCCCCGTGGTGAAGAAGCCCGCACCATGGAGAGACGGAGAACCCCAAGAGTTAGCTTTCTTCTCTTGTCCCTCCCAGACCTACTGCTGCCAGCAGGCCGGGTGCGGGAAGGGAGCCTGCAGCCTCAGTGCACTACGAAAGCCGAAAGCCGAAAGCCGAAGGAAGCTCCGTACCCAGGAGCAGACTTGTTCTGAGCGCTTGCAGAGGCACTGCTCTGGGTGGGCATTGGCCTGGCCGTTAAGCTGCGGCTTGGGAGTCCTGCGTCCCAGATCAGAGCCTGGGTTGGAGTCCCCACTCGGCTTCCACTTCCTGCTTCCAGCTAAGGTGCACCCGGGAAGGCTCAAGTAGGCGGATTCCTGTCACCCACGAGGGAGACTTGGGTGGACCTCTCCGCTCCTGACTTCAGCCTGGCCCAAGCCCAGCTGCTGTGGGCATTGGGGGGAGCAAACCAACAGATGGAAGATTCCTCCTCCCCACTATCTTTCAATCAATAAATGAATTAAAAAGAAAAAGGATTCACGCTGGATAGTGCGGCTTGGCAGGTGGAGGTGAGGGGCCTGGAGCAGGGGTGGGGATGGGACGGGACGGCAGAGCCAGGGTTCCTGAGGCCCTTCCCAGCCTCCCTCTCAGGAGCCCTGGGGTTTCGTAACCCACATGACTCATCTTTTCAGCAAGTGTGAGTCATTCTAATGGAGGTAGGGGAGCAGGGGGTGTGGCGGGAGGCCCCACCCAGATGAGCCGAGCCCTCCTCCACAAGGGCTCCCGTGGGCAAGCGGCGTCTACATCTACCCCCAGTCCCTCACCCTGCAGGGCGCAGGCACCCCTGTGGTCCAACATACAGCCCGGATGCCTGCAGTCCCTGCCCATCTGGGAGCCACGTGGCCCCAACTCAAACAGGTCGGCCTTGCAGAGGAATGTGCCACACCTGTTGAGCAAAAGTACCAGAACCTTCAACCCATCTGCCGGCGTTGCCTGGAGTGCCCGGCCAGCTTCCTCTTCCGCTGGGAGGAAGGACCCACTGTCACTTTCAGTGATCCACTGGGGTGAGTCCTGCTGCCCGCCCATCTGCTGGCCACGCTGTGCCTGGAACTCATCCTGTGTTGTACTCCTTCCAGTAGGGGGTACTTCAGAAAGTCTGTGGCAAACAGAATTAAAAGATCAGTTGACTGTGGTGCAAAACTCTGTTGAAACCCCTGCCTGATCTTTTTCATAATGCGCATTTTCGTGAGTGTTTTGAAGGCCCCACGTGAGGCCTGCTTCAAGATAATGCGCGCTGCACACCATCTAAGTGATTAAGGCTCGCTCGTGCTTCCCAGGGAACACCCCCACAACAACGGTGGCTTTGACAGGCAGAGATAAGGGTTTTTCCATCATCATCTGGAAGATTAAGGGATCAGCCTGCCGAGCCGAGAGGAGGCCAAAGCCCATCTGGGTTTTCATTTGGAGGGATCTGAGTTTATCGTGTTATGGAGTCTGGTCCTTTGAAGCTCAACTTTGCACTCGTCATAGAAATACTAGGGCCATCTCGGGGCCCCGGCGCTGTGGGAAGACCAGGATCCCAAAATGAACAAATGTCCTAACCCGGATCGCCCCCTGTGGCTTTCCAGTTGATTCCTACAGTGACAGGAGTAGCTCGGTCCCAGGAGCAGCAGCCCTGTGCGTTGACAAAGGACCTGCAATAAAACATGGCTTGTCCTCCTGTCACCCTCGGGATGGCCCTGGAGGGCCGCACGGCTCTGGGGAGGGGTCCTGCTGCCTCCCTAGACCTGCTACCGGTTCAGAGATTGTAGAGAACACGAATAAGGAAAGGTAATATTTATGCTAACTTCATCCCCAGACAACAAGGAGCTGGAAGAGGCTCCAAGAAGAAGTTACTGTGCTGTGTGTGGTTGCCATGCCCACGGCTGGCTCCTTTACAGCAAGTTAGGGCGACCCAGCTGGGGCCCAGGACAGCACTGACACAGACTCTGATCCAGAGATTACCTCCATGGAGGCAGTAGCCACTTGATGGGAAGACTACATTTTTGAGATCGTGCTGGGTTCTGCAGGCCAGGGTGGCGTCCCTTGGAGAATGTTCCACGGGCACCACCTTCGGGATCCCAGAGCAGAACACATACAGCGTCAGGCTCTGGCTGCTGACCGTGGCAGGAATGTAGCTGCCCCCTTGCCCAGTGCATCGCACTGATCAGCACTCCCCGGTGGGGTGGGGTGGGGTGGGGTGCGCAGAGCTGCGTGCTCTGTCTGCTGGGCTCACGGGTGCGTACGTGTGCGTCTGTCCTCCATGCTGCCCTAGTAACTCTCAGGAAGCAACTCACCATGGCTGCTTTGCACTTACCACTGCCTGGACTGAACCAAGTTCTTCCAGCGAGGCTTTTTAGTTGCATCTGCCGGTGCCTGGGGGACACCAGCTCCTGGTACCCCTGGGGATATCTGGGTAGTGTCCCTCCAGACTGGGAACCAACTTACAGCCCCATGGTCAGTCCAGGGCCTTTCTCCCTATGTCTCTCTCCCTCTAAGAGGGCCAAGGCAGGAACCAGGCAGCTCCTGTGGGCCCTATCTGTGCCCTGGGTTCATGTTTCATTTTCTCCTACACAGACGGTGTGGCCTCTCGTTGTTCCAACTCTAGAGACAGGCACCTTCCACCGTGGAAGCTTCTCTTGGTAAAACCCAGAATAAGCACGCGTCGTCCAGGCAAAGGTGTCTTAGGTCTGATGGAAACTGGCGGCCGCCCAGGCAGGTTGCTATAAAGACACCTGTTGAACGCTGTCCCACGCACTTGCCTCCGTGCCCCTCGTGGCTGCGTTGACATCCCACAGAAAAGAGAGAGCAGAGTTGGTGTGTTTGTTTCTTTCCATGAAAGTCTGTTGTGACTCTTCAGGTACGCAAAACCTCTTTCTAAAGCAATCCCCTGGCTGGTTTGCATTCTCAAACATGATGTTTCTATCCGGAGAACCTTGGACGCTCCGGGCTGCCCAGCACTCAAAGATGACATACCTGATGCAACTTGGTGAGCCACTCCTCAGGGCTGCCTGTGCCACCCACGGCCCGAGACACACCTCAGCGACAGGAGACGCTGACACAGACCTCTTGCTCAGCAAGTGGGCCTGAGACAGGGAGGGCCGGGGACAGACAGGCTCTGCCTCCCCATCCCTCACCTCACCCTCCTGTTCCAGAGAACTCTTATCAGGCTCAGCACTCTACAAGCCGGGGGGACCCCAGCCAGGCCCACTTTTCCTCTCCTTTTCACCCCCTCCCCACCCAGATCCCCCTCTGCTTCGAATGTGATTTGCCCCCTGAGCGTTCAGCATGTAGGAGCTTAGCCCCCAGGGTCTTAGACTGAGGGACTCCAGCCGCGGTTCTCGGCCATGGACCCTTTAGAAAGAGATCGGACTCGGGCAGGTACCTGGTGTGGAGTCAGCAGCACTGAATCCCGGTAGCTTTAGAAGGAGAGCGACAGACACAACACCCATGCCTGCTGCCTGTCTTTTCTCAGCCAGCAAGAGGCTGGACCAGGGAGGCCGCCTGGCCTTGGACTGCAGAACTGAGAGCCGAAATATCTCCCTGCTATTGCTCCTGGGAAAGCAGCAGAAGATGGCCCAAGTGCCTGGGCCCTAGAGCCACTGGGAGACCCGGAAGAAGCTTCTGGCTCCTGGCTTTGATTAGTCCAGCTCTAGCCGATGCGACCATTTGGAGACTGAACCCACAGATGGAAGATTCTCTCTCTCTCTCTCTCTCTCTCTCTCTCTCTCTCTCTCGTTCTATCGCTCTCTCTTTCCTTCTCTCTGTATTTCTGCCTTTAAAATAAAAAAATAAAATCTTGGGGCCAGTGCTGTGGCGCAGCGGGTTAAAGCCCTGGCCTGAAGCACCGGCATCCCATATGGGCACCGGTTCTAGTCCCAGCTGCTCTTCTTCCTATCTAGCTCTCTGCTATGGCCTGGGAACACAGTAGAAGATGGCCCAAGTCCTTGGGCCCCCGCACCCACGTATGAGACCTGGAAGAAGCTCCTGGCTCCTGGCTTCGAATCGGCGCAGCTCCGGCCGTTGTGGCCATCTGGGGAGTGAACCAGCAGATGGAAGACCTCTCTCTCTCTCTCTCTCTCTCTGCCTCTCCTATCTCTGTGTAACTCTGACTTTCAAATAAATAAATATTTAAAAAATAAAATAAATAAAATCTT